TGTTTTTAAAATGATATTATCTATAAAAAAGATGATAATGAAGGAGTACAAGTGAACTATATGTCAAATAAAAAATAAGTTAATCAAATTTTCATATTTGTGTTCCAAAATTAACAAATAAGTGGCACATTCTGAAAATAAGTATGTAGGATTTTTTAAATAGCATTTTTACTATGTTGAATTATAAATTGGAAAAATAAAATGAAATTTTCTGATTTTAATTTGGAAGCTCCATTTATGCTATTTGAGCGATTCCAAGGGAAAATCACAGTTCAGACTTTCAATTATATTTCATACTGAACACAATCCCTGACAAATTAAACAAATTGTGTCTAGTACAAAATATTGAAAGTCTGACTTGTGATTTTCTCTTAGATATTTACTAATTCAATAGCACATAATTTATTTAATTAGCTTTAGTTGGTGTGTAAAGTATTAAAATTTAAAATAACATCTTATAACAATACATACACAAGATAAAAGAAATGCGCCAAAGCCTTGTATTATTTTATATTTGTCACCTGATTTTATCATATATTAATTACTACAAGTTTAGCACATCTCGGTTAGAAGAATTCTATAGAACCATTTAGTGTTAGACATAATAAATCAAAATAAAAAATGAATAAGGATATCGATTGCATATGTAGTAGATTAATTAACGTATATAAACATATAGTTGGTTTAAAAGTTATTGTAAATTACATAAAAATTGGTCACGGTAATTATATTAAAGAGTGATGCATTTAAAAATTTTAAAGAAGTTAAATAGTTATCCCTTGCATGATTTTAATATGAATTAAATAGTATAAAGCTTGAAATATATGGATTATAACCAGTGTTGGGCATTTGACCAATTTAACCAATTTTTTAGTATTAATAAAAAATTTTTAGTTAAAAGATATCATTATTTAAATTTAAATTTAATAAATTATTATATAAACTATATTGTTTAATTTTGTTAAAAATCAAATTAATAATAAATAAAAAAATTTTAATAATAGCCAAAAAATTAGTCAAATTGGTCAAATTGGTCAAATACTCAACACTGAATTATAATCTAAACACATGAATATTTAATGTATTTGACATATTTCAATATACCAATGATGGAAGTCTTAATATTTAAAGCAACTTTATAAAGCAAAGATATTTGTGTAATTTTTAATATTTTGCAGAGTTAACATTTTAGTAAAACATGAGTTCTACATCTCAAATCTAAAATTACCAAGTAAACATCTCTGATATGGGGCCTTTGCTATGATTTTTTTTTACTAAAAATAGATTTGTTATGATTTTACTAATTAAAATCTTGTGTAACAATAGCTCAGAGGGTCATTTTGTTAGTAAAAGCCCCATATAATAATACCAGAACCACAATATTACAGTTTTTGAAATCTTTTTGATTTAATAAAGCTTTTGAATTAAATATATATTAACCCAACAATGCTATCTATTTTTTTCTTCCCTAAAAAATGCCTTTTGACTATCATAAAATTTGCTAGTACTATAAATCAGCTGAAAATAGGGATTTGCTAGACCATTCAATGCTTTAAATTTTTGTTACAGATATATCAAAAAATAACCTTTAATTAGTATGTATAGATTCTTTTTTTATTTTTTTTGTTATGAGGTTTTATTGTTAAGAGATAAGATTTTTATTTAGAATGTTTGTTACAGATATATCTAAAAATAAAAATAACTTTTAATTAATATATATAGTTTTTTTTTTGTTTTTTTTTTGTATTGAGATTTTATTGTTGAGAGATAAAATTTTTACTCAGCTCTATTAATTTTTGTGTTCAGAATATACTTCTTGTAACCTGCTAATTGTTTTTTAAGAATATCAGGTGTTCAATATAGTAGGTAAGAGTAATGTTCTTTTTTCTGTTATCATATAGGGCCGTTGCAGTAGAAAGGGCTGAAACTTGGAAATTTATAATTTTGAGAAAATCATGTTTGTTTTGTTCGGACTGATCCGGGTCAATCAAAAATTCAGAGATTTGATTGGTTAGCTATATCAGATAATCTCATGATATACGAATCTTCTAAAAAGTTTTTTATATATATTTCAATTTTTTATTAAGCAAATCAGTTTCCCTTTATAATCAAAAAATGTAGCCCATCTCGAAATTTATTCGAATCTTACAAAAACTCAATTTTGATTTTCGGGGGAGTTTGGGCCCTTTCTACTGCAATGGCCCTATATTTCTAGCATTATTAAAGAGTCTTTCACTTGCAGTTAAAGTTGCTGGAATACCAAGTATTTTTAGGCTAATTTACTTAACACAGGAAACTGGCTCTGATTATTACACCACTATGCTAGTAAACACTGATCTCATAGAATTTCTTGAGCTTCAAGATAATCTGAAACTTTCAACTGTGAGCATCTATTATAAAATATCAAAGCTAATAAAGAATTAGAATAGCTTTGTGTATTACTATTTTCTTCTATTCTATATAGAACTTGTGATACTTCATATTTAGTTTTAAGCAATTCAAAAGTTTTATTTTTTAGAGATTCTGATATAAAAGAAAGAGGCTTGCACCAAGAATCCAAAAATATTGCCAGAATGGCCTTGTCACTGGGCACTTTCCAATAATATACTATAGCATTATATAATGCTGCCTTTATCTTTTCTTCAAGATTTTCACAATTTTGTGAATTATTAATATTAATTTGATACTATTTTTTATTTGACATATAGTTCACTTGTACTCCTTCATTATCATCTTTTTTATAGATAATATCATTTTAAAAACA